AGGAACAGTTTAAATTAACACCAGGGATGCTATTATCAACTGTTGTTACTGAAACCACTCTTCATTACTGCAACTAGAGGTTGTGGCCAATAAATCGTAACTATCAACTTCACAGAGGTGAAAATATTATGACAGTGCCCCTAACCATGTGTTGTCTTTATGCTGCTGTAAAGCATGCTAGAACATGCTAAAGACATGTTTACACAAAACTTTTCCATTAAAATTGTCACTCTAAACAAGACTTTTTTGCGCTCTTCTACAAGTCAGGACTATGCTCTGGGCATGGAATTGGAGAGCAGGGCACAAAGAATAAAAAAGCAGATCCACTTAACTATTCAGAAATGAAAATTTCATAAGAAATCCTGTTTTGTATATTCAAGCCCAAACGGTGAGAAACAAGTATCCTCCACAAAGCCCAATGTTTGAAATAGTTAAACTATATTTACCAGCATTTACACTTGATTGTTCTAGTAGATGTTTTCATTCTACTGAGCTGTTTAGAACAAAGACAAAGCAAATAGATCTTTTCAAACATCCAGTTGCTTCCTTTAGAGTAAATCTTGTGTTCATAAAGGGTAGAATAAATATAGAAGATATATACTGCAACACAGAAGTATAAAGCTAGAGTACATAATGTATTTGATCTGAAAAAACAACAAGAATTGCAGTACCTTTAAAGCAATACCAATAAAGCAATACCTTTACAAACACTTTACACAATCTGCAATAGTTCTGTTTTTACCTAAACAAACCCTATAAGCAATTGTTTACATAGTAGGTGAATAAATTTAGGTATATGGAGCTGGCCAACTGAGGATGTTGGGACAACTGCACAAAGTACATATGAGTAAGGATTTAGTTAGAACACACCCATTCTTCTCCAAAAATACACATATTTCACTGATACAAGTAAAATATAAACCTATATTTTTACATAAATATATTCCACTAACAATGCACCATGTAGTAAATTTATCTTTCACCACACTTTCACAAAGAGACATTTTGATATGCAGCCAATTAGGCAATGCATTTCTAGCTAAGGTGTGCTTACCTAAGACACTGGGTTATAAGAAAACCAGACATCACATCTGTAGTTAGCCAGACTGCATCGGATTTTGGGGATTGCTGTGCACAAAGTACGATGGCTTTCATGTTATAGTTTTTTAGTCATATTGCTATTTATCGGGTGTTTCAGTTCCCCACAACCAAATGACCTGACATCAGATTAGATTAAGGTGAGACTTTGAAAATTGCCCAAAGCCTGGGAGCTGAGGGCAAAATAATTTTCTACATATTTCCCTTTAAATGATTAATCTAACATGGAAACACCATACATTACACTGAGAACAAAGACCCAAAGTATTGTTAGCAAACTTGCGATACGAATTCCCTAGAGAGCCTTCAGCTGTGAACCTTTTACATAATCACAGTTAAATAAGGACCTTGAAAATTTCAAATATTAAGTCATTCAAACCTCAGTGGACACTGAAAATGTTAGGGAAATGATCTTTTTAAGAAAAATTCAAATGTGGTTTTATTTATACCTACTGATATCATAGTGAACATTCCTGACTCAGGGAACACAAGCATTCAAGCTCTATCAAACTTCAAATTTTTGAGATGAATTTGCTCAGAGAAGGTTAAAGCTTTAACAGGATGAGAGCACCTGAAATTTATCAAGTGTCATTAAAGAGTCCTTTCAGCACAGGCCCTAAAGGCAAAGGGCTAGTTAACTAGTTGAGTACAAAAGTAGCAGTTATATTTGTGTTAAGACTGATGACCAGATAACTGATTATAATCAAGGCATTCCAGATCTTGGCAAATCTTGACAAAAAAAGACTGTTTGCTAAGCAATTTTTCTGTAACGGAAAATAGAATAAGAGTCTGCTATGACATGAAAACCAGCCCCATCCCCACAAGGAAACTGACAGCCAGAGAAATCAACTTTAAGTGTTTAACACAAGTAGAACTATGTGAAAATAGAATTGCATCTCTTCCAAGGCAAATAAGCTATGGAAAAAATGAAAATATTGTTGCATTTACAAGGTAAAAATTATATACAGTACATACTGTGTTAAAGAGTTTTGTCTCAAGTTTGTGTCATTCATTGTTGTCTTTATGATTTGAATGAAGGAGTAGTTTGAACAATAACTAAATTTGCAGATGAAACCAATATTGCACTGGTGGAAGGTACTTCAAGTATATCAGAAAGGCTGGTGTGGAACTGAAAGTGTCACAGGTACAGTGGGAAATGGTCTGAGGAAGAACAAAGGTGCCATTCAATAACTGACAGCTTCAGAATTATACAGAATTAAAAGTTGAGAGCCACTCTCACCAGCAATGGATAAGAGTTGAGTAGGTTGTGCTGTAACTTGAGCTCCAAGCTCCTTTGCTACATCACAAGCTGAACATGAATCACCCACTTCCTGCTGTTTTGGAAAAGAATTACAATCACGTTTTATAAATTAGAGCAGGTTTTAGATCACATTTATGTCAAAATTTCCATGTGGGGTGGCTGGCTGTGTGCTCTTACTGACTTTCAACTTGCAGTATGAAGAAATGGGCAAGATTTGTTCTCATCTGGTTGTTCATCTTACAGTGTTTCTTAACATTAACTCTCATAATAACATTATCTTATTCCTAAAATTTAAGTGTTATATTGCAGATGTATTGTTTTAGTACAGCAATTGCATTATGACTTATTAAAATATTAATTATCAAGACAGTTTTTTTTTTCCTCCTTAAAAACAGCATTTGAAGCAGTTTGCTTCTCTCATCTTGGACTCCAACGCAAGGGAGAAGAAAAAAAAAAAATCACCTAAAAATAGTTTTCCTAATTATGCATTTAAAATAAGCATCAATTAGCTGCAGATGCATTGAGTTCATTAAATTCATGAGGAATGCATTTTCCTTTTCTCTAAACATGTCTATTACCTTGACCATGGCAGGAATTACCCTGTTCTATTCATCCTACAGAGCTGGGTCTAAAATTCCAAGAGCCCTAATAGCGTTATTTTTCTTGAACTGAAATACTACTGCCACAGTTTTTTTTTTGTTGTTGTTGTTGTTTTTTTTTTCCCTTAGCTGATTTTCATTAAGCAACAGAATGCAACTGGATACAAGAGTAAATGATATAAAATGAAAAGTCAGAGGAAAGCATTTCTACAAAATCTTCTTTTCTGGAATCCTATTTCTTTGACTGTATAGGATTTTCAAGACATACAGGAGGAACTGTATTCATAATATACTTGAACACACATTTCTGACACTTTTGCTGCTACCTAAGATCTTCATAAAAGTTTATTTTGTAAAAAAAAAAATCATAATTATATCTGCAAATGCAAGTTCTGATCATGAACAGGCACACATACACCTACAGAAAGACAGCACTTCCTCCCTGCAAGTCCTGGTCTGTATACAAATTGTTTGACAGCCTCAGTGACAGGCCCTCCCAGTCTGACAGGCCAGATATGTTAGTCTCTGCCCAGTTTTACAATTGCATTAACCAGATCCCTTCCTAGTTGGGAACAATCCCTAGGCAATTTAGGAGCTGCTTACATGGAAAAAACATTAGTAAAGAATTTTATGAAATACTGATGACTTACTACTTTGCAAATAAACTTTAAAAAAAAACTGCAAGGAATGCTATTAATTCACTGACCCCCTTGGAAATAAAGCATTCTGGAGGATGAATGAAGGGGAGCTGTGTGTACAGAACATCCTTCTTTTGCAAGCAGGCACAAATCAGTTCTGCCTGTGCTCTGAGCTGGTCCTGAGCTCCAGGCAAGTACAGCCCAAAGGCTCCACAGCTCTTCAGTCTGAGATTAACTCTGTCCAGCTACTGCCACAAGCCGGGGGTCAGCAGAGTTCGTGCCTGCCTATGATAACACTTTTTTAGACATACTTTCTAAGAGACTATTGCATGTTCTGGCCATAACCTTATTAAAGGCTAATAATGTCTGGAGCATTACAAAACTAATCAGCTCTAATTGGTTAGCATTGATTATTGTACAGTTATTCTATGGTGAGTGTTAGTACGCAGAATTATATTTTAAGACTGCCTAAAGCCTCAGTCCTAAAATAAACACATAAAATACCATAGCGCTGAGTAAGAAGGAAAGCTCTGTTTGCATAAACAGGCCTCAGAACGCAGAACTCTCAAGACAGCTCAGTTTGAAGAGATAACATGTGCTGCTATTTTTGGCAGTTGTTTGCTGCCTTCAAAAGCATGCTTCATCTGCTGCAGCAGACCAAGCCATGCAAACACACACACAGGTCCACTGAATACTAATTTGACATTTGACTTTTGCCTTGAATTTCCTTAATTTTTTAAAAGATTCAACACTGATATTTCAGTTTGACACCTGGACAGCAGTACTATTTAAAAGAGATTTTTTGGCAAAGCCCCAGTTTAGAAATGCATTCTCTTAATGACAAAGTAGTAGCTGTTTCCTTGCAATGAACACTGTAATCTGACCAATTCGTATTTCTTACAAAAACGCAGACCTAGGAAATCACTACATTTTATTTACCATTTTGTAGTCCCATCTGAGTTCAACCTTCAATGTAACCTTTACACAACTGAAAGGCAAGACATCCCAATGTCCCTGAAACCATCTGAGTTTTCAAATGAGCTGCTGTACTCACTGAACACAGACTTGGAGATTTCAGGACTGCAATTTGTTAAAAATGGGAAGATTTCTGGGCCCTTCTGCAGACTTCCAGCCAGATACCTGCAAATTGGTGCTCATGGACTGTCAACGTGTTTATAGATATGTTCATGACAGTTGAATTAAGTGATGAGTAAATAATGTTGCAAGCAATGTGCAAGTGAGGCACTTGGTTTTCCTTCTAGAAGGATTTATTTACCTTCTAAGCATAGAGGCTGTCAGACATACTACTGCAGTTAAACAAAAAGGCCTTTAATTTGCTTTGCCAGCAGCAGAGCAGAGGAAATCACCTTCACTTAGAAGTCTGCAATGTAAGTTTCATCCTACCTTCAGCTGTACTAGATGCACATCCACATGCTTGCTATCCGAATCCTGCTGCACAGAGTATGTCAGATCCCTGACTCTTTCCGATGTCATCCGAAGCCATGTCTCAATTTCTGGCAAATGAAGAACAATCTTCCAGTCTGCCCCAGTGTGGAGAGGAGGAGGTTTTTCATACTGCTGGCCAGAATCAAGCTCCTTCATCACATCCTCTTCCCCATCCTTTTCCACTGTAGGAGTCATGTTTATAAGCATGGGAGACACATCAGAAGGCATGGGATCCAGTTCTTGTGTTCTCATGGGAGAAAGTGCCACATCCATTGCTAACATGGGCCAGTCTAAACCATAATTCTTCCCCAAATACCTGCAAATACAAAAAGAGAACCTTGAAATAAAAACATTTTAAAAATAAAACTAACTTGAACTTTTCGGAGAGATCATACTTTTAAAGTAGTCTGCTGTAAATTCACAGCAGAAGTCTAAGCATAAATAGATCTTTAAATAAGTTTTTCTGTTTGAGGAAAAAATAACACATCTCACATTTCTAACACTGCAAAAAGTCACCACCTTGAAAATGCCACTTTTCATTGCTGCCAAGTGTATGCTGGTTTCCTACAAGTATTAAGAAACAAGTTCACCACTGACAGAACTTACTGAAGTCCAGAGCTAATATAGATATGTATTTGTAAACTAGCATGAATTAAAACACACTAGGTCACCTGAAATTATTACATGAAATTAGTGAAATTTCATTTTTCACAACTGCTCACTTGACTTTGAATCACACACAAGGTCAATTTTGAAGGCAGATTTAATGCAGCATTAAGGATATTTGGTTGATTTACTGTAGGTAAGTTTTAGTTTTGAAATTGGAGTTTTGTTATAAAAATTGCTGCATCGAGCAATGATTTTATACCAAAGTTTATAAGAATCCACAGGTTAGCAAAGTACACACCTAACACTAAAATATCTCAAGTGCAGTCATACTCAACCCCAAAACATTTGTCTTCAACACACATGTAATGGGTGTAATTTATTTTCATAAGTATAGAAATGCTTAAGAAGATCTTTTCCAAAGATGCTTACTTGTGATCAAGTAAAAGTTTTCAGTAAGGCTATGACAGACGATAATTGTCTCAGTGCAGTTTTGTATGTGATGAAAAGACATGCTGGTTCTTACCAAATACAAATTGCTTTGAGCATCTATCTGTTTATATATGTGCTCTCCAATGAAGCATATTTCGCTAGGATAAGACAAACTGTATTTTTACAATTTTAAATATACTTACTCTATAAAAATATATTCCTTAAAAGTGCAATGTTCACATTAATGCAAAGTTTTTATTCAAATAAATTGAAGCTGGACATAGCTGTTTAGGATAACAATTCTATTCAATACTCCTTTTCAAAATAAAAATGGTGGGTTTTTTTTTAATTATTTTTCAGGAAACTTCAACTTGGTTAGCTAATAGAAAATTAACAATATAACATCAGACTGACCAGAAAAGGCAAGGGAAGCACTTCAATTTATGCCCCTCTCTGTATACTCTACCTGTATGCAGCACTGCAGGCTGCTGTAAGCCATAAGCCTGAGAAGAAGATACTTTGCTTAGTAACACTGAGCCGGGTTTGGAGTTACATGCCCACAGCATTATGACAATTTTCATTCACTAGGTAATGTAGTTGGTCCTAATTTGGAAAGACTCTAATTTGGCAACCTTGGACAGTTTTACTAAACTTTTACTAGAACCTCTTCAATGCTTTAACAGTAAAAATTATTCAATATGTCTATATCAATAGCATCAAGATGACCAGGTCTTTTTAAAACGGTTTAGCCGGTAATGTTAGAAAAAAATCAAGTATGTGTTAACAATTTGTTCTTCTATGCCTCTTTCTTAAGTTTCATAACTAAGACTGCAATATAATACAACTTGGTTATACAATTACTGCTTCAAGTACTATTCCAAATATTTACATTTTTTTCCTCTTATGAAGACTGTAGTTTAGCATAACAGCTGTAAGGTTCCAGAAAGGAAGACAGCACTTTTCACTATTACATCTAGAGTGATTAGTGAAATATTTTCCCAAATACTTCAGCTGAATTCTCTGTAGCAGGAATCTCCTGCATCCATCTCTTCCCAAAGAAGTTTTACACCTTAAAACACTGTTGCCAGAAGCCTTCCAAATGCATTTCATTAGGCAAACTAATTAGAAAACACTTCATCTTACACATTGCTACTCATACTGTATTTTTAGCATGTTAATCAACTATTCTACCAGGCAAAAACTTTATTACTTTAGGAGATGATGTTCTTCACATCATTTCCTCCTAACAGTGAGATTCTGGTGAAGCACATGCAGCCCTCCCTCCCCTGCGTGTACCGCGAAGCATCGACACCGGCCTGCCCGCAGAAGAGTTGCTCACGAGTGACGTAGAAGCACAGCAAGGGCGGTACTCGCTTAGCCGTTTTCTCCCCTCCACACACAGAGCCTGCATTTCCCAAGAGCTTTTAAACATGACCCAACCCTAGTAAGGGCACCAAGGCAGTTAACACGCAGAAATCCAAGTGTTCTCCTGCAGAAGCAAGCAAAAGGCAGCCCAGCAGCATGCGGAGCACAGCTCAAGGTAGGATGAACCAGGTCTGCAACAAGCCACCGTTAGGAACCTGCTGACCTGGTTTTTGTTAGCATGTGCTTGACACTCTCCAGCAGCTAATCGCAGCTAATACCTCCTTAATCCACTGTTGCTGTTAAAGGCAAGTCCTTTGAATCATTTTCTTTCTGCCAGAACACGACAAGTTGCAACGCTTGAAGTAAGAGTATGTGGAGAAGCTTTAGAACAGATCATTCTTTGCACATTCTTTAAAGTCCACAGGAAGATAATAAAACATACTGTGGATGCTTGCTAACAAGGTCTGGGAAAGCTTTAAAGAGACCAGAAACACTTGAAAGGAGAAGCTGCCACAGCTAGACGTGACTCAGCCTGAGCACACAGATTCACCATGTTGCTTCTTGGCAGAGCAGAGGAGCATCAAGATCCAGCTGCGCTGGCGCAACCGCAAGCAGAGGGTCCCCTGGCCTCCACGAGGCCGCTGGCACTGAAGGAGTGTGTTCCCAGGAGCGCTCCGGAAGGCGGCCGGGCACAGGCAGCTCCTCCCCAGCTCTCCCTCCCCCTCTCATGGCAGCCGGCCAAAGGCCAAGGCAACGTAAGGCGCCATGACACCCTGGCCCTCAGCTACAGGACCAAACACATCTGCTGACAACAGTGAGGACCTGCTTCATTTCCTTCACACCGTGGACACAGAGGGAAAGCATGCAGGGAAACCTCCCTCTCCCCACGCCATTCGGCAGCTTGGCACTGGGATGCCTTCACTGTGAAGTTCCTGTTGAGCCACCAGCGCACCGAGATGATTAAATTAGCTGATGTCCTCACCGTTCTCATGTAGCCACTCGTGGCTCTCAGCCTCCTGTTACAGCCTTTCCCACACAGGGTATTACTTTCCTATGGCAGCAAGAAAGCTGGAAACAGCAAGATGGGACACAGAGATCCAGCTGCAACGCTTCCAGGATTTAATCAGCAATGTACTTTAAATCTCAGCAAAAACATTTTTTATTGGAAAATATCTGTTCAAGAACAATGCTGCATTAAGCTGTTATATGAATTTCATATCTAGTGGATTAAAATACTTGGAGAGGGCATAAGAATTCATGATCAAGTTAAATACCTTTGGATCATATTTTGTAGCATTTGATATTCTAAATAGAAAGTCCTTTATGCTAATTTCTAAGGTACCAAAAGGCTGATCTCTTCCCTTGTAAATTTAGTTTCCTTGTAAATTCGACTTTAAATCCTCTTGAAGATAAAATTTCAACTACCAAAAGACAGTTCATATCCAAAACCATATTACTACCCAAAGAATAACCCAAAGAATTTTCAGGGAGATAAACTGCAAACACAATTGATTTTAGGTTTTAAATACTAAGCTTTCTCATTTCAACCATACTTCTAACTTACAGCTGTGGAAAAATAAGCCAACCCAAAGCCTGAAGTAAATTGCTGCAATAAGTACAGTGCTGGGCACCTCACTGAATTGAAAAGTTTGACCATAGAGTTTTACTGTATTTCAGGGCTATTTTGTTTTTACCAAATTGAGATGCACAGGTGATGAACTGGAAATCATTTTAAGTATTGCAGCATTTAGTAACACAATTAAAAATTTAATCTTTAAGTTCTCTACTTTTAGAGTTGTTATGCAAAAATTATGCAACTATGCAAATTTTTTGAGAAAAGTTAGAAGTGATAAAAGTGCCTTCCAAGCAGAACCATTATAACTTCATTTTTTTAATAAGTAGCTCAGCTCACTCTAATAGGATTTGGTGATATATGAGAAAACCAGAGTGAGTGATAGTTTTCGGTGAACAAGCAATGCAAACGCAAAGCAGTGTGGAATTAGGCTCTAGCTCCTCTCTATCTTGACTAGTTGTAGCAACACAACCATTTTAAATTTGCAGGAATACAACTGAAAAGTTCTCATATGTTGTCATAGAATCATAGAATGCTTAAGGTTGAAAGGGACCTCTAGAGATCATTTAGTCCAACCCCCCTGCGCACACAGGGTCACCTAGAGCATGCGGCACAGGACTGCATCCAAGCAGGTTTTGAAGATCTCCAGAGAAGGAGACTCCACAACCTCTCCAGGCAGCCTGTTCCAGGGCTCTGTCACCCTCACTGTTAAAAAGTTTTTCCTTAAGTTCATGCAGAACTTTTCGTGTTTCAGTTTCTGGCCATTTCCTCTAGTTCTGTCAGTGACCACCAGTGAAAAGAGGCCAGCACCATCCTCCTCACTGCCTCCCTTGAGGTACCTATAGACACTGATTTGATCACCTCTCAGCCTGCTCTTCTCCAGGCTGAACAGGCCCAGCTCCCTCAGCCTCTCCTCATAGGGCAGATGTTCCAGGCCCCTGATCATCCTTGTGGCCCTGTGCTGGACTCTCTCCAGCAGCTCCGCATCCCTCTTGTACTGTGGAGCCCAGAACTGGACACAATACTCCAGATGCGGCCTCACCAGGGCTGAGTAGAGGGGCAGGATCACCTCCCTCGACCTGCTGGAGACGCTCTTTTTAATGCACCCCAGGATCCCATTGGCCTTCTTGGCCACGAGGGCACACTGCTGCCTCATGGTCAACTTGTCGTCCACCATGACGCCCAGGTCTTTCTCTGCAGAGCATGTTGTGATCAACAAAGTGTTCATACTCAGCATTTCCAGAGTATACTCTTATTTTCATCATCACAATCAGAGCATAACAGAGTTCCAACAGTATTACTTAAAAAGGAAAAAAAAGCTCTTTCTTAAACTATTATTT